TCAGGCTGCCAACCTCAAGGTCAGCAGTTCAACACTACCAGCAGTTCTGCAGGAGAAAGATGAGACATTCTGCTCCCGTAAAGGTTTATATAGCCTCGGAAACCCTGTGCAGGGTCACTATGAGCCAGAACTGACTCCACAGTACTTAACAACAAATATATGTGTATATATATATATATATATATAGTGATGGTGGTGGTGTGCCTTGGAGTCAGTTCTGACTCATAGCAATCATGTATAGGGTTTCCAAGGCTGTAATCTTTATGGGAGCAGAAAGCCTCATAATCACCTTATATTCCTTTGCTGTCATTTGCTTCACTTCATCCTTGATTAACAAACAGATTTGAAGAAATGCTTAGCGCAAGATATGGCCATCGGCATAAGATTTTCTCTAATAGTAGTTAGTATATTTGCTTTCTGTCCCTGTCTTCTCAATGAATGAGTTGTGTTGATGGCCAAGTAATAACTTGAGGCCTTAAATTCTTAAGCTATTAAATTGAGATGATGATATTTTTGTTGCTTCTAGAACTAAAATCTTTGATACTAAAGATAAAAAAAAAAAAAAAAAGATAAATCTGAGTAAGTTCAAACTCAAAATGTAGTTGGGAAAGGAATATTAAATTATTCTGAAAGAATAAATTTTTTTTCTAAAAAATTGTAAATGATAAAGGAAAATAATTTTACATCTTTAATTTAAAATCTGAGAGTAAAAATGCAAAGCCCATGATTTGTCTCTCTCATAAAGAGCAAAAGAAAGACATAATATCAGACCAGTTGCCATCGAGTCCATTCCAGTTCGCGGTGACCCCACGTGTCAGCAGAGAACTTTGTGTCATAGGGTTGGCAATCACTAGTTTGTTAGAAGTAGATCACCAGACCTTTAGTCTCAGGCACCTCTGGGTGGATGCAAACCTCCAGCCTTTCAGTAAGGAGCCAAGCCTTTTAACCATTTGTGCTACTCAGGATACATACCTCTTATACACTTGTTGTTTTTAAATGCTATTGAGTCAATTCTAACTCATAATGACCCTGTATAGGATTTTCTAGGAGTGGCTGGTGGTTAATAGTCTAATGCTTATCCCATAGCACCATATCAGGATTCCCTTATATAGCAAGGTGCTTTAAATATGTTTGCATCAAGGTAAAGAAAAGATGCAATTTGTCAAGCAAAAAGAACATCCATTTTTTTTAAAGAATTTGTTTGGTACAAATATTGCTCATCTCTTTAGGATTTTTTTTTTTTTTAAATAAAAATATGAGTCAGCATTTTCCTTTTTGGTGTAGTGCTGTAGGATAAGCATAAGATCAGTGATTTAAACGTACCAGCCACTCCTTGAAAACCCTATGCAGGGTCCCTAGGAATCAGAACTGATTCCAGGACACTAAACAACAACAACAACATCACACCATGTCAATCCAAATGATTCATGTGCTCTGAGGAGTTCTGGTAACATAGTGGTTACCAATTGGGTTGTGAACCTTTAGGTCACCAGTTCGAAACTACCAGCTGTTCCGCAGGAGAAAGGTGAGGCTTTCTGCTGCTGTAAAGATTTACAGCCTTGGAAACCCTGCACAGGGTCACTATGAGTCAGAATCGACTCCATGGCACATAACAACAACAACGACTGCTGACTGAAAGACTAGAGGTTTGTGTCCACCCAGAAATGCCTTGGAAAAGTATTGGTGATCTCCTTCCAAAACAAACCAGCCATTCTGACGTTCAAGAGGTTGGCATGAGGCAGAATTGACTGGCAGCAACTGACTGGCTATCACTCCATAAAACCCTGTGAAGAATTGAAGACTCTATATTGATTGTCTTTCCTTTTTCTTTGATGAGAAGCCTTAAAAAATTGCAAGGAAAAATTCCACTATCTTTTGATCCCATTTTTCCATAAATTTTTGAGGACTAATGGTATAAGTATAACTGTTTCTGCTGAAGTATAAGAAAGCACTTTAAGGTATAAAATTTCTATTAAGTAGTTGAAAGGAAGTAGACAAAATTAGTTACTATGACTCAGAGCAAGCATGCTGTTTAATTCTAATTAAAATTGCATTGAATATTAACAATTTTTTTTTTTCCTCATATGAATTCTAGGCACATTCAAAGCAATAACCAACCTCCTCAGCCTCCGGTTCCACCATTAGGCTATGTGTCCGGAGCCTTGATTTCTGATTTGGAAACAGATGTTCCAGATGATGATGCTGATGATGAAGAGGAAGCTTTAGAAATACCCAGACCCCTGAGAGCACTAGAGCAGACACCAGGATCCAGCATGGACAATCTAGACAGCTCTGTGACAGGTAATGGAACCAATTTAATAAGAATAGCTGTCTGTTTTGTAACATTAAAATGCATTGAAAATCAAATACTTTCTTATGTAAGATTTATTCCACTCCATCTATTTCTGTAACATTTTAAATATGTTAATATTAAACACAAAATTCAAAAAGGATTTTGGAATACTTTTGCTTTGCTGCAAAAATGATAAGAAAATTCATGAATTTTAAAAAGCTTTAAAGTCATGAAAGAAAATGCAATTATATCCAGGGCTTTCATGAAAAGTTCACTGTACTAGGGAACCCGCTCCATGACATAAAAAGCCTTGACTTTTAGAAATGATGTATTTTGTGTATCAGGAGCAACATACAAATCTTAAAACACTTCTTGATATTTTAACTGTGAAATCATTCAGTGACGAAAATAAACAAAAGCCTTCAGAATAAGCCTCTCTAAGGTTATACATAGTATTATTTTTGGAGTGGAAAAAATATATAGTGAGATAAACCATACATTAATGCCTTTCATACTGCTGAATCCAATAATGGCTCCTCCGTCAAGAAGCAGTTATTTTTACTGTTTACTCGTTTGGCATCCTGTTTGCCTGCTCAATAAATGAAAAGTTGCAATCAGCACTCATCTATGGTGATCCCAAGGCTGATGCACAGCTTAGTTCCCAGGATTTAAAGTTATGAAATTTGATGGAAAATATTCAGGTTGAAATGACTGCATACAAAGTTAAACTCCAGGCTTTCTCTCCCCTTAAATATCATCCTTTGACATATGTTCTTGTTAAGTACCATGGAGTTGGTTCCGACTCATAGAGACGCAGAACAGGGTTTCCGAGGCTGTAAATCTTTACTAGCAGAAAGCCTCATCTTTCTCCTGCGGAACAGCTGGTAGTTTTGAACTTCCGACCTTAAGGTTGGCAGCTTGACTCATAACTATGCTACCAATGCCTTTAAATGGCATGTTATTGTTGTTAAGTGCCCTTGAGTTGGTTCCAACTCTGTACAATGTTTCTGAGGAGGATCTGGTGAGCTTGAATCGCTGACCTTGGGGTTGGCAGTCCTGGGTTTATCCTACTGCGCCACACCAGGACTCCATTAAATGGCATTGCTGTTGTTAAGTGCTGTCAAATCAATTCCAACTGATAGTGACCAGTATAGGGTTTTGAATAAGTGACTGGTGAGTTTGAACTACCGACCTTGTGGTCCAAACTGACTTGCAGTCCAGTGCTTTATCCTACAACACCACACACACACAAAAGTTCAGTGGTAGAATTCTCACCTTCCTTACTGGAAACCCAGGTTCATTCTCCAGCCAGTGCCATTCAAACATTGAAACTATTCATCTGTCACTGCTGTGAAACTGTACATGTTTAAGCAGAACTTCCAGACCAAGACAGTTTATGAAGAAAGGCCTGGTAAATTGCTACAGAAAATTAGCCACGGAAAGCTCTATGGAGCATTATGGTTTGATCCCATTATGCATGGGTATTCTATGATTGGGGAGCTGAATCCGTGGCATCTAACAACAACCACCACAAACAAGTCTAGCCTTTGCTTTTCACTTGGGTATTCTCAGAAACTCATACATTGTATTTATCTGGGTGATGTCCTTCATCCTTGAATATATTTTACTTCAGTCCCTTTAAATTTATTTTTACTCCAAGAACTTCACCACTTTCACAGATTTTTAACTACATGTTGATGTTGTTATAAAAGTTCTGCAAATACAGATGGAAACTGGTTTATGTCAGTGATGAAGACGCATCAAGACATATGATTTTCTTCTCCATTCCTTTCTGAATTACACAATGAGTAATATATAAGCCCGCTTCTCAGTGTTTCTTCTTACCCAGGCGCTGGCGTGCTTGCCAGGCTAATTAAGATTTAAGAACTGCAGATATATACTGCTGTGATTTGAAATCCAGATCCAACTGAAGGTGGCAGAGCAAAAGTTTAAATCTTTGAATGCAGAGAGATGACTTATGAGCGCACTATTAAATTAAGCCCCTTTGCAGGGATTTCTAGCATAATCTCCTTCAGGGTAAAATTCTGCATATTTTTGCATATCTCACTAATGATACTGATGCCTTTCCATTAGAAATGCAATAAAGAATTGCAATAATAATGCATAAACAGTCAGCTACAGTCCATGTAGTTCTTTTATTAAATATTGTAATGTCAAAGATGCTAAATATATCACTAAATGAGGAAAATGGCATTTTGCGTTTTTCCAGTCTCACCTGTTAGCAACATTTTAGACTTTCTAATGCAACTAAGGTTAAAAAACAATCAGCTTTCTCTTGTAACTATTATAATATTCATTTCAAATAAAGCTTTTATTACTAAGAAAGCATACTTGCTTTCCTATATGAATTCACAGCCTAATTACTGCCATACATAAAAACCTCAGGATGTTTAGGTGTGTATTCCATGATTAATTCCTCCTATGAATAATAATGCATTTCCTTAGTAAAACAAATTGTATTCTATACAAAAATAGCCAAATAGGATACTCTAAATTTTATTTTCTTGTTCAACAATAATTTTTTGGATAAGGTACGATTAAAGATTGAATTTGCTTTCTAGGATTAAGTGTAATATGGTGGTGGTGGTGCGCCAGGGAATCGGTTCTGACTCATAGCAACACTACATTGGGTTTCCTAGGCTATAAATCTTAATGGGAGCAGAAAAATCTCATCTTTTCCGGTGGAATGGCTGGTAGTTTCAAACTGCTGCCCTTGAAGTTAGCAGCCCAACAAGTAAATATAAATAAAATGTTAATAGTAAATACACTTTATCAAAAATTTGTTTGTGTGCATATGTGTTAGTGTATACAGAATGTATGAGTCAGATTTAGTAGACTATGTGAGTATTATGTGTGTGTGTAACAGTGTGGGGAGGTGCACATATGAAACTTAGGGCTACTTTTAATCATGCAAAATGAGGTGGGCAATAAAGAAGATACCATCTTGTTTGACCGTCTATTTTTAAGATGGTAAAGGCCCATGAAAAGCATTCTGAACTTACCAGAAATAACTTTTAATTCCTAATTTGTTTTTCATTTAAATAAATGCTAGTTATTTTCACCTGAAATTCCCAACTAGTTTTTTTTCATTTCCATAAAACAAATGACTATTTCTATTAAATAGAGTTAACAGATATGTTCGATCCCTAAAAGCTTAAATCAGCTAGAATGATAGTAATAAGTCTGTATATGAAACTTTATTGTTGCTAAGTGCTGTTAATCTTCCAATTCCATTTATTTTGTAAACTTTTTTGAAATGTCCTCATAAATATGTATTTATACTAATGTTGCTCTTGTTTAGTGGTGATGAGTAGATTATGATTAATACCAAACCTGTTTAGGGTTTCTGAGAAGCAGCTCGTGGATTTGAACCTTGCAGTTCAAAGCTACCTTGCAGGCCAGTGGTTATCTTATAGCACCACACCAAGACTCCTAACATAAAATTTTCTATCTGGAAATGTTAGTCTTTACCTTATCACTTAATATTAAAATAATATATCTTGAAAATAAACTTTTATTATACATTTTCCTCCTATTTAAGTTCTATGTTGAAAAAAATCCAACTCTAGTGGTGGTACTTTTTTTAGGGCTCTTATTTTTGTCATTTTTACTGTAAAATTATAATTTATATGTTTTTGGTTGCAATAAAGTATAAAAACTTTCTGGTTATAGCACATCATACTCTGTTTTGGACTCGAAAGTAAAATTGGAGGACTTTTTCTGTCTTCCGGAATATACTTGTGATATGTCTTCCCAAATACCAAACCCACTGTGCTTAGGGAACAAGGGGGAGAGACTTCAATAAATCTCTCTGTAACTTTCATGGTGGGAGTCAAGGGCAAGGGTTTCCTGAATTTAATGACACCATAATAGGAAAAAAGAAACAAGAAGCAATGAGAGAAGGCGGGGGAAAATATCCTGAGCATGCAGCCAAGATTCTAACTGGCTCACTGATCACAAAAAAGTAAAGCTGAGAGTAAGTGCTGTTAAGTGAAATGAATAAAAATTTCCTAGACTGCTGCATCCCACATAAATACCATGGCTAAGAGGAAATCATGGCTCTAAAGTTTCCTATTTTATTTCTTTGAAAGTTTTTACTGTAACTCCCACCTCAGATCAGGAAGAAAACAATAAAAACCTGGCAGCCTTATCATCTGACTCAGCCACACAGCTTTTAGAACCTCAGTCGCTAAAGAATATACTCTGAAGTCTTATTTCCATAGCAAGTCTTTTAAGGACAATATTATCAGTGTTAAGGAATATTGGAGAGAGCTTGCTAAACGTACTGATATTAGATTCTTATAAGACCTTAACTGCATTGATGTTTTTAAAAACAAGTGAAGCATTTACTTCTAAATGTACATGATAAAAGGGAAATCTTATATGTGCAATTTTTAGCTGAGAAAAATAAGTTAACAGGTGTCGTATGTCCCGAGGAAGATTTTTTTTTTTAAATTGCTTCCTTTGCTTTGCATATATAACACATATTTCTTTCTCTCTGAGGAGTGTAGGTGGAATTGTTGCATATTCAATATGTTTCAGGGAAGTAAGGACTTCTATAGATTAGACACGGTTTCCATATCTAGGCATTGGTCAATATTTGGATTGATTTTTCTAAAGACACTTATAGCTAAAGATTTCGCTTAACAGATAGACACATAGCATTTAATAATAAGTGTTCCTGGATTAAATATTGGCTGGAAAAATAGGGAATATGTAGGTAGATTTTCTATCTCATAAAAATGGTAATGCAACAATTAGCTGGGTCATATTATAAAGCACAGACTTTACTCTAGCTTAATGGATCTAAGGATAAGCATTTATCAGCAAGGAAGGATTTAGCATATAATGACATGTAAATGAATTGATGACTGATCATAAATTAATTTTAGTGCTGAAGATGTAATAGAGACACAGCAAGATGCCACTTTATCATGGTATTTTACTGCTCAGTAACATTTGAGCAACAATTTAAATGTCCTATGTG